AGTCAGCGGCAATCAATAGTACAGGATGAGTTAAGGATTTGACTTTATGACAAAGAGCTACTTCCTCTTTCACTGATTAAGGATGCTTTCACGGCCAAGACAAAGACATCTTTTTTCCCCCAGAATTTAAAGATGCATCATGAAGTAAAACTATTGCATCAGTAAATTTTGCTTTGTTTGAGCAGTTTTAACATAGCATCATAAAGAATCATATAACTGTGGAATAACTAATATTATGTGAGAGCAAATATGAAGCATGTGCAGCATGCACTTTATGAATGAATTTAAGTAATTTCCCTCTGGGATTATTAAAGTATTTCTGAAATGACAGCCATGAAGAGAATGTAAGTCTCCCCAACTAAACATATTCATTCATTCCATGATTATCTTAAATCAAGGTATGTTATAAAATAAATAAAAAACTTAGAACATATCAATGCATGTTTGCACACTTAAAGTCGATAGCTATATAAGTCAAAGTTGGTAAGAGAAGCAAGGCCAATGGGACATTTTGAGGAGCTGCAAAGATCCACAGCTAAAATGGGACAATCAATTGACATGACAGATATGAATCATCTGCCCCAAATGTTTGAATTATATGTTTGAAATAAAGCCATTGCTGTCCGTAAGCCTTAAGCCTACTTGTTGACTGCCAAAAATGGTTGGAGAGACAATAATCAAGTAGAAGAGGGTGTTCTTGTTAAATGAGAACAAAAATTGACTTTTTTGGAAATCAGTTGAAAAAAATGTAACACAAAACACCCTGATCAGGCCATCCATACAGTGAAAAACTTTTTTTTTGGTAGGATTTTGCTGTTCATTGTTGTTTTTCTTCAGCAGGGAAAGGAAAGGGTTTTTGTCCAAAGTAAAGATGCTAAACAAGATTTTTGTCATAGGCCATTCTTCATTAAATGTGTCCGGCAGAAAATCAAAACCAAACCAAACTTTTCTTGTATGCCTTTAAAAACAAAACAAAAAAATATATATCTTTCATTCTGTTTCTTTGTTTTTAAATGTCTTTACACTGTTACCAAGGAAAAATAATAATCTGGATACATACTGATTTTTGTTGTTTTAATGTGACAAGTTCTTAAAGAATTTTAAGTAGTCCTGCTTTGGGAGGCATTGTATTTTGAGCATGATTGAATTCAATTAACGTTAACTTCTTGTAGGATGACAGATCAGCCGGAGCTAAATCAGCCTGTAATCTTGGAATAGTTTTAAACAGTTTGTGTTGTGGCAACGTACAAATGGGGCATATGATCCTCCCCCTACCATGACCACAATGAATGAGAAATAGTGTTTAAAGTGAGTGAAAAATAGTTTGTGAGGTGTAGTTCTTGGGTGAGTCATGTTTTTATAACAAGCAATAGACAAAACTTGTGTGATTATGTAAGTTTTACCCACGTCTTTAGAAATTGCATGCCCTACAGGTATAATGCTGAATAAGTTATAGACCCATTTGTTTTCCATGGTCTGTTATCTTAGAAGGGGCATGAAAAGGATGCTGTCTATCTAAAGCAATCATGAAGAAGCAAAATGAATACACTGTGGAGGGCTCAAATTGAGTACTAATTAGTCAAACATGGTTGTCATTTAACATCCTTAAATGACTATAGGCTCTTTCCTAATAGAAAGGGAAATCAACAGCTTAAAAAAAGCCATAATTCAATTCAATTCAATTCAGTTTATTTATATAGCGCCAAATTCACAACACATGTCATCTCAAGGCACTTTACAGTTCAACCAGATCATACAGTCAAATTGATACAAAGTTTTCTATCTAAGGAAAACCAGTTGATTGCATCGACTCAAATACAATCCCTCACACTAAGCATGCTTGTAGCGACAGTGGAGAGGAAAAACTCCCTTTTAACAGGAAGAAACCTCCAGCAGAACCAGGCTCAGTGTGAGCGGCCATCTGCCGAGGCTGACTGGGGTTCAAGGAGACAGAAGCATAGATACAGAAAGCAGCTGTAAAAGGCGGCCCCGTCCAGGAAACACACAGCCAGGCAGACAATCTCCAAGGCAGCTCCCATGCCAGAGGACGAAGAGAGCACTTCCACTCAGTCACGGTCAGAGAAACAGGACCACACTGGAGAACAGGCCGATCTCCAACATCTATAAACAAGGGTGTTGATGGAAGCAGCACAGCTGATGTTTCTTTCCAGGATGACGTCACAGCCAAACAGGAACAGACGAGGCAAAGCTACTCTGAGGAAAAGCAGAGAGAGCAGAAGGTTAGAGATTGAACTAACAGATTCTGCAGTTAGGAGAACAGAGAGAGAATGAAGCAGAATGATGAAATGGGGGTCCCTATGTCCTCCAAAAGTCTAAGCCTATAGCAGCATAACTATAGAGATAGCTCAGGATAACCTTAGCCACTCTAACTATAAGCGTTATCAAAAAGGAAAGTTTTAAGTCTAGCCTTAAAAGTAGACAGGGTGTCTGCCTCACGGACTAAAACTGGTAGTTGGTTCCACAGGAGAGGAGCCTGATAACTAAAAGACCTGCCTCCCATTCTACTTTTAGAAATTCTAGGAACCACTAGTAAACCTGCAGATTGAGAGCGAAGTGCTCTGTTAGGAACATAAGGAACAATCAGATCTCTGATCTCTCATAAAACATCCAATGTGCAGTTACTTATAAGCCATGTGATGAAAAAAAGCAAATAATGATAAAAAAATGAAACTTTTCAGCCAACCTGAAAATGCAAATTAAGCTGAATGTTCTATTCTACATTGTAGAAAAATATGGTAACAGAAGTATTATATCTATGATGCATTTTTTTAGTGTTGGACATGATAAAATGTTTAGAGGCGATGGGAAGGCTGATAGGGTAGGCTAATTTCAGAAGCACAGCTCTCAGCAGTTGGAGGTTATTTTAATGGACGTTTACCTTTCAGCAACAAGATGAAACATAAAGTCAAAAAAGTAATGGGAATGGTTAAGATCAAATGAAAATAATCGAATATAAAAGACCATTCAAGTTCCAAAATGTTTCAAATTTTGAATCTGTTGTAAGATTTTATTGCAGATCATAAAATGATCATACAAAGTAAGCTTAGAATATTTTGTAAATGGGCAGGCAAACTAAACTAGCAAATTTTAGTTTTTAGATGGATAAAGGTAGTAGATATATCCTCCAGGAGAAAAATATGCTATATTATGGATTAGCTATGGGTCTAAATATAAACATGCTAAATTAGATTTTTAAGAAAAAGAAAAAAAACAATACATTAACAACTTTTTTAATGTCTTTCAGACAAAATCCCATTTGAATACTTAACTTCAGGGGTAAAGAGGAGATAACATTTGAAAATGATATCTTCATAAGTAATTTTATATGTCTTTGAACACAAATAAAGTGGTGATGATGATACAAAAGCCTATGAAGAACCCAGATTTATATTTTATTTTAGCCAGTAAGGAGCTAATAATCTTCTCTATTTTCTCTAAAAGATTTTATTCATAGGCATTCTTTAATAGTTGCTCAAGTGAGTTTTTACTTATTCTTACCAACCTATCTGTGTGGCAATAAGGAAAGCAGCATCCTGCAGTAAACCACTTCATCATAATGCTTAAGTGTTGGGTGCATACAGAGGGCTATTATAGGCGAGTAAAGTTGCTCTTACTTACGTTGTTGAGACCAATGGTTGGCACTGTGGGTATTGTTTTGGGGGAGTGGTTGGTTGGGGGAGTGAGTTATCCTAGCAATTGATATTTATCCCAGTGTCCACACAAAACCTCCTTGTTTGAATTTGGACTCGACTCATAAGTGCCTCTACCGCACCAGGCAACACATGCTGGTGACCGCACTCCCTTTCTGTTTCCTCTGTCGTCTCCCCATCTTCTTTTCCTGTTCCAGTGAACCGGCTTATTAACACAAACACTGGCTGACACTTGTTTGTGCTTTTAATTTTGTCTGGATGTTATGTCTCTTGTGAACACATACATTAGCATTTTTCTGGCACAAAATAATCACTTTCTCAACCACAACAGCATGCAAAGTGAGTGCAGGGAATTACCACGTGCAATCACTTTTACTGCACAAGCACATTTGGCTTTGCTCAGCTCTTCTATAGTCTGCCACAGTCTCAAACTTATTGGGTTTTGTAGAACAGTGCATTTTGGGACACCATTACCTTAAAGCTCAAGTTCTTGACAGTGTAAATTATAATATAAAGGATATTGTTGTTTTAAAAGAAAAAGAAGATTATTAATGTTGACAAGCAGATATATTTACCCAATACTAAACAGTTTATATTTTCTAAAGTGTTTAATACTCTACAGCCCAATTGCAAAAAAAAATGTTTCAGTGCTGTAAGGAGGGGCTATATGAAAACAATCCTTCCTAAGTGGGTAAGAAAATATCTAAAATTGCACCATGTTTGAGTTGTTCATCAGAAAAACAAGAAGATATTTTGGACAGAGAAAACAAAGAAAGGTGTGAAGCAAAAACTGTTTTTGATAGATTATTTTTTCACCCTTGCACAATGGAGCAGCTCTGCTAGCTTGACTCCGATTAACTCTTTAAAGAGAATTTTAGTTCATGTGTCTTTGGATCAGAATTTGTTTTCCTGATTTTTTTTTTAGGCATATATATATATATTTTCCATCTTGGATACTTGTTATGATTTGTATCCACAGCAACTATAAAGCTGATTTTTTACACCCAGGAGGAGCTAATAAACATCTCTAAACCTGGAACTGTTATACCCTGACAAACTTGGACCCAATATTCAGACAGACAGATCTGGACGATTTTCAACAGGGTTTATTCAAAACAAAACACAGCGAGCGGCTGGTCGACAGCGGGACGGGGAACCGGATTCTCTGTAGTAATAGGAAACACAGGTGACTGGAATGTCGGGCTGTTCACGACTAGGAGCAAAAGTAACTGATCTGTTTCAAGTCAAGTCTGATCCCAGAGGAAAGGGAGGAATCCAGGAGGGAGATTGTATGCCGCTTGCAGCCGTAGCCGCTTCTGGAGCCCCGATTGATGTTGAGCTGATGCCAGCCGACGCCGAGGGAGCAACAGTGTACATAAGGAGAATCAAAGCCGAAGTCAGTGAAACAGTCCTGGTTCGGTAACCAGCAGTATCCAGGAAAACAGTCTAAAAACCAAAACAGACAAGGTCAAGGCAAAAACATGAATATCCAAAGCAGAAAACAGGTCAGAATCAGAAAAAAATGAAAAAAATCTATTGACTCTAGTTTTACTCTCACAACAGCTCGAATAATTTGCTGCTGATGGTAGGCAGGCAAAAAACATAAATAGCTGATGGAACCAGGTGGAAACGATCGGCATTAATCAACCGCTGGGCCAATTAGACAGGTGAGCAGAAGCAAATGAAAACGTCAACCATCAACGCCAAGACCATGACGGGACAGGACCAGTACTTTAATGACTTCCGCAAGTACCATCTGACTTGAAGGATGCATCAGTGATAAAGAGCAGAAGAAGAAGATTGACAGGAACAAAAATATTAAGCCATCTCTTCCATCAATTATTATGTGAAATGTGAGATATTTAGGAAACAACTTAGAAGAACTCCAAGCCTTAGAAAGGTTCCAGCCAAGATACCGGCAATGCAGCATTATGTGCTTTACTGAATCGTGGCTGTGAGATCATATCTCAGACTCCCGTATCTCTCTGCAAGTCTTTCTGACGACCAGACAGAGATTTAAAGAGGACTGGAAAACTCAAAGGAACTCCAGTACATTTTACTGTGAAAATTCATCACTACAGCTCAGATATTGAACTGTTGGCAGTTGGTTTTTTCCCCATATCATTTTCCCAGAGAGTTCACCATTGTTCTGTTGGTTACCATTTGCATTTCATCTTCTGCTTTTGCCAACACTTCATGTGATATAATAATTTCTCCTAAGCTACAGACACAACAGCCAAGTGCATTTGTGGCAAAAAATAGTGATTTTAATCACACCTCACCCTCTGCTACACTGCCAACATTCCAACGGTTTGTCTGCTGCTGTACCAGAGAAAGCATACTTTTGGACTTGTTTGGGCAAATGTTAGGACTCCTACATCTCTAAACCTGCCTTTGGGAAATTCAATCACAATCTAGTTTTTCCAAACTCAGATTATAAGCCAACCGCGAGACATCCGTAAGGAGATGGTCACAGGAACATGAAGAATAATAATAAATCATGGATCACAAGTGATCTAAAGGAACTACTTAACAAGAAAAACAAGCCTTTAAGAAAGGAGACAGGGAATTAATGAGGAGCATACTAAAGCAACTTAAGGTCAAGATAAGAGAAAGCAAGGAGCAAGCTCTGGCAGAACAATATCAGAGATATATGGTCATGGATGAAGATCACAGGCCTCAAGCAAAAGCATGATCAGACAGATGGAAGTCTAGACAGAGACAATTAACTTAAAGATGATTCAATAAGTTCAGTTCAGGTATAACCTTAGAGTCCTTCCCTCTTGCCCAGAGTCACATGTACATCCTACCCTCATCTACCATTGATCTTCCTGATTCTATAAGTTTGTTTGCAGCCTAATCAGAGGATGGTTGTGCTCCCTCCTTCTTTCACCTGTGTCTCTCTAAAATTTAAAAGAAGAGGCAACTGGAGAGACTGAATTTTAATAAGTACCTAGGTCCTGATGGTGGGAGTTCTAGAATCCTGCAGACCTGTGCAGAGCTGCTTTCTGGGATTCTACAGCATCTCTGTAACCTTAGCCTCATTCAGGATACTGTTCCGGTGATGTGTAAGACCTCTTGCCTTGTTTCAGTACCAAAATAAAACTCAGCCACCTGTTATCAGTGACTACAGTATAGACCTTTTAACAGAAACTTTCCATTTGTCAAATCATAAATTGGACAGGATTAATCCCATTCTTGTGTTAAAATTTACTGGATACCCAAAGATATAGCATTGAGGATTTAATTAACTAAAACCTAATGTAATACCATGAAGTGTATGAAGAAATCTCAAAAAGTGACATCTGATAATCCAATCTTAAAGGAATAGTACACCCAAAACATGATTAGCCTTCATTTTCTACTCACCCCCATGCTGAACAACACTCTGGAGTACTTTTTTGATATCTCAAATGCATCTGGAGATCTAGGAGGCTTCTTGCTGTCTGCTGACATTCAAATAATGGAGGTCCATAGCGCCCGAGGCAGAAAGGTCCATAAAAGTCCCCTAAAAACGTGTCAATATTCCTCCATACTGCTCGTCCAATGTATTCCAAGTGTCCTGAGTTGGTAGCATCCATAATTTACTCGAAACAAAGTCATTTAGAATGTTTTTAGAGCATAAACAGTAGTGTATAGGACTTCCTAAAAGCGCGCGCATGCGAGTTCACGAGTCTACGGAAACCGCGGCAGACCAAACCAGATGAAAGTGGGCATTAAGCTCGGCAAAGAACTCATGCTCTTCCTCAACAATGAAGTCCTCAGACATTCTTCTTTCGTTGTTTCTTTCTTTGCACAGGTAAACAGCACATTTCTTCTTCTACGCTTGCATTATTGGCAGAGCAGACGCTGAATGCGCACTTTCATCTGGTTTGGTCTGCCGCGGTTTCCGTAGACTCGTGAACTCACATTCGCATGCTTTGAGGAAGTCCTATACACTACTGTTTATGCTCTAAAAACAATCTAAATGACTTTGTTTCGAGTAAATTATGGATGCTACCAACTCAGGACACTTGGAATACATTGGACGAGTAGTATGGAGGAATATTGACACGTTTTTTGTGGACTTTTATGGACCTTTCTGCCTCGGGCGCTATGGACCTCCATTATTTGAATGTCAGCAGACAGCAAGAAGCCTCCCAGATCTCCAGATGCATTTGAGATATCAAAAAAGTACTCCAGAGTGTTGTTCAGCATGGGGGTGAGTAGAAAATGAAGGCTAATCATGTTTTGGGTGTACTATTCCTTTAAGAGATTCATACTACAGTAATTGATATCATGATATCTGTCTGGATACTTTTATGAAAACTCTCTTATGCATGTTAGAGTATGCATTTTGAAAATTATTATTCACAAGGATTTTGGAATATGTGCATCCTATTGCATTTAGCAAAAATTCACCCCCCCCCCCCCCCCCGAAGTGCCTTACCTTCCAAAAAGGGTACATAAGAATTGATCATGTTGTAAAGAAAAAAAACCAAACAAACAATAAACAACAACAAAACAACATCTAAAATACTACAAGCCTCAGTTCCGATGATTAATTGTTTCTGGGCTGCCGATTGGGTTCACCTTGAAGGGGTTGCCAGTCTATCAAAGAACAAAACAAAAAACATAGGACCGAAACTCTACGCATACACACTTAAGGTCAGTATCCATGACTGAACAAATTTGGTGAGAAATTGGTCGAAAAAGACACCAAACTAACTAAAACCAAAAAAGGCCCATCACACACAGAAAAAAAAAATTATGATCGTGGAGAATGACATCCATAATTGATAAAGCCAATCATAATATTTCATAAATACTATGATCACAAATCACACACCAGTCTATGCAATAACCTCAAGCATATCAGCAAGTCTACCTCCAAACATCCCATAAAAGAAATAGGTTTCAGAATGGCTGTTGAGAACCATGGCCTTATAAGTAGAGGAGCTAATCTTCATTCTGACACTTCACACTCGGCTGTGAACTACCCCACTGCATGCTGTGGACAATGGCAGGTAGGACACAACCAGAACCACATCATCTGCAAAAAGCAGAGACGACATCTGCTGGTCCCAAAACTAGAATCCCTCTGGCCTTTGGCTGCACCTACAAACCTACTCTATAAAGGTTGTGAACAGGACCAATTGGATTGCATTAACAGGCAGAGATAATTAGAGTAAAATTATTAAAAGAAAGAAAGCAAATTACAAAATAAATAGAATGTTTAGAATACATTAACTGCTCCAGAAAGTGTTAGTTTTCGCAATATGTGGAGAAAGGAACTCCTTGGTGGAGGTCTGTACTGTTCTTGTGTGATTAAACATTTTCAAATGTGAGTGTGGTGAGCATGAGTTTTTGATGACAGGAGGCTATTTTGCCCAAAGTTTTCTTATGTATGAGCCATGAGCTAATCTTAAAGGAGAAGTCCAGTCAGCAAGGAATAATAAATGGATCATTATCTATACCTAAAACTAATACTTACATTTAGATGAATCTGACCTTAAAGAAAAAACTAAATTCTTCCATATTGTCAATTTGCTTTAGATGTTTTTTGTTATTGTTTGTTTCAGTTTTTTTGATAGAATAATAAATGACATAATAATCTATAAACATTAGTTTTTTTTGTGCATGTTGAAGTCCACTCACACCATTCATACCAATATATCTTGCTATTCAGAACAAGAATTCAACAAATGTGACACTCATAATTCAGGGACCTGACATGACTTGTTTCTACAACATCCCCTGTATTCCTAGACCCACAGGAGAGACATTTTCTAAAACACTAGTTTACATGTTGACATAGGATCCTGATTGACAACAGCTTAAGAATGTGTCCATCACCTGGAGCACAAACACACATTACCACATTTTTGCATGTACAGGGAGATGTATTTTGATAATCACAGTCTTCAAAGGAGTTACAAAAAGCTAGATAATATTCACTTTTCTCTACAATATTCTAACCAACATAACACAACCCAGTCAGAGAAACCGTTATCCCCTTATACTATGAACAAAGCAGTGATGTGCCAAGGATTACAGTGTAAAATATGCATGTCCCAATAAAATATGCATATTGCCATGTGTCACTGATGACATGACTTTTACAAAGGCTGCACCGGTATGTACAATGAATGTTAGTCAGATTCTATTCCCATGACTTCAATGTGTATAAAAGAAAAAGAGTCAAGCGGGAGAATAATTTTGCCTGCCACACGAGTATTTGGTATCATCTGAACATGGTTCACTGAGCCACTCATTTGTTTCTTCCTTTTTTTCGTTTTACTTAGAATGCTATTTAGAACGGGAATAATAAAATCATGCAGTTAAAAAGGATCCGAGCTCAGCCATGCATTGTTTCTGAATTAAACGCTCCAAATTTCTTCAGGAGTAAAGACTGTTTGCCAACAATTAGGGTTCTAATCTACTCAGTCATGGTGGTTTGAAGAAGGAATGTTTTGAAGGGTTGGCTCCAGTTCTCCCACCACCATAGTGATCAAACTGTGAAAAGGGGGCTCCTCTTTCCTTTGTTTTGCCGCTAAAGAGAAATGAGGGTACATGGATGAGCTGTGAATTAGAACCAGGAACTGCCAATGCAAAGCAAGATTAATGCCTAGGACTCTTTAAATGTCACAGATAATTAAACTGTATTCATCAATATGAACATGATATTGTAAGTGAGCATTACAGTGAAACTTTGTGTCTCTAAACCCAGATTAAAGGAGACAGTCTTTGATATTTGTTACAATAATTAAGCCCAAGGCTACAGGGCAAACAGATAATCTCTTCATGACTCATGAGTACCGCAGTCAGCACAATAGCATCAGAACCACAACAGTTCAACAACAGTCAAGTACATCACAGCAGCGTTTGAAAAAAAAACAACAGAGGAACTTAGTTGCCTTTAGGTACTTGCTTTTTGGGTCTCAGGTGACTCTTTCACTTCAGTTTTGTGTTACCATAATAAAATAGTTAAGAGGGCCTCTTGTTGATGGCCCTTCCCTCCTGTCTCGGCACACTGACTCCAGCATGAACAAGGATGCCTGGACAATTTAGTACAGCCTTGTTAGGTTGAGCATTGCACAATGGAAACTGTCATGCTGCATGTAATGTGTAATTAAACTTGGAGCCATTTTGCTTGAAATTATTCAGACCTAGAATGATTTGATTTCACTTAAGAAAGACATGCATCCCGCGCCTTCTTTTCTCTAAAGCTTATGTTGAGAGTGAACAGGCAGAACGCTCTCCTTATAGTTGCTTTTCCCAAATGGCTAGTCGCTTTTCCAGTGTGGTTGCACCCTTCTCTTAACCACAATCTACCCCCGCCCTGCAGTCTCTGCACTGCTTTCTGTTACTGTTTTGTCTTCTGGAACTTCCATTACTTGAGCAGGGTAAAAATAAAGCACCATGTGAATTTTGTTGGTTCTGTCAGAGTTGCCTTTACAAATATATTTTTTTTCTTCAAACATTTACTCTGAAACCAAAGTAAGAAAACAAGGTGGCCGCAATATTTATATAGAGAGGCCACAACACTGAGATCCATCACCCCTGCATGTGTACATCCAGCTTTCTTAAAATGAACTACAGGAGTTTCAGATTCTCAACACACATACATAGATATCCACCCACAGCTCCATACAGCCATATAAAGATTTAAACAAATCCACATGTAACTATGTGAGAAATACAAGCATTTAGAAACCGATGAAAACAATAGATCTACTGGACACTAGCCATAAACCCCCACACAAAACTTCACAATTCCATAAACCGAGGCACTATAATCCATTACATCCTTTTGGATGTGTTATACTAGTTTATCGACAGTGCCAATTTTAAAAGACAGTCTGTGTATCTTATTCCTTTCCACTGTAAACCTCTCTTTCCCACCTCAACCTCAGACACCGATGACACATCCATTTAAACACCCCTTTCACTCACATGGACATATGACTCAATGATAATGACAGTACTGAGTGTTTTATAGAGAGTCATAATTACAATTATCTAAACCTCCATTCTTGGGAGTTTATGTCCATCTCCACCTTTTCTTCTCACTCTTGCTGTCTTCCTCCCTGGTAGCAGCTGTCTTTGCTTGGAAAGTGCCTCTTTTCCCAAACGATAATCTATTGCCATCCACCCATCTCTTACATGTTGCTACATGGTGAGTCACTGCTGTAATTCCATCATTAGCTGGATAATGTGTGTGCTGACTATATGTTAAAACTTTAAGTGCCAGCTCTGCTTTGACCCCCAGGCAGCCTGTGGGTTTGACGGATCCAAGGCTGCCCACCAAGCACCACTTTAGGTCCATAGAGTGGGGTTTGTTTATTACAATTTGACCAAGAATGGATTTGGGCATTAGGACTTTCACATTTAATGTCCCTCAAAAAATTCTGTACACCCTCTAAACCCATCCTTAAATCAAAAGCAGCATTTCGACTGAAAAAACACAACAGACAGGTTAGGAATAAAATTGTGACAAATTGTGTTACAAGTTTAGATTATTAAACTACATCCCAAGTGTGCAACATCTCACTGAGGCCCACTAATAGTTGTGGACGACCTTCAGAGATCTGTTACTCAGGTTGGAATATTTGTGGTCAGCAGGTCTTCCAATTATGCACTAAAAAGTCTTATGTTTATTGTGGTAAGAAGAGGGCATATTAACAGAAAATCTAACAAAAAAAGTCATGCATTGGGAAATAAGCCATGCATGGACAGAACAATCTCCTAAGCAAGTGTCTGTCTCTGTAGAAAATAGATAGGGCCAACACCACGGCATGAAAGTATACATGACCTTTCATTATAAACATACACAAAGAGCTACAGTTTAAAGGTATAGACAAAAGCATATTCTGTCATCATCATGTGAGAAAAAATCCAAAGTTTCTAGTTATAACATGAAATATTGTAAAAGATTCTTAAGCCAAAAACATTCATCAAGCACTCGGATGCTGTAGCATTCTTCATGACCTTTTATCAGGTCTGCCGCAATTCTAAAGTTTCCAAAGATGTACTTCTCTGTTTATCTGATGAACTTAATGACCATGTTTGGTCAAAATTCTCTGACCCGCACCAGACGTTATAACACATAGTCGCCACCAACCACTTTGTTCACAGCCAGTCATTACAGCCTGCCAGAGACAAACAACTCTAAATCAAAAGTTAAATTACAGTAAAGCACAGGTTGGATTATGCAAGTATTTTAAGACAGGAGTGACAAAGTTGAATTCATGAGGCGTCTTAGTTCAGTTCCCATCATTTTTGTTCATTTTTTTCCAACAAACTTGCACAATTAAGCCCTAAACACTGCCATAAATCTTGATGCATGAATGGAACTTGAATATTGCCCCCAGTCAGGCAAACTTGATTCTGATTGCGGCATGAGAAATAAAGACATTTCTGTGCTTACGTTTAAAAGTTATCAAAACATGTTGATTTTCGGTGGAACGTATAATAAAACCTAGATGTGGCTTATGTGTGGAAGCTGCCATAGATTTTGAATCGTACATACAAATGAGTCAAGCTCAATAGTCAGTCAAAGACAAGGTCCTTGGAGTTCATGACAAATCTCCACCTGTGTGTGAGATCAGTGTAGTTGTACATGTGAGAGCTCGCCCTGATCCCACAGCCTCTGTACTATCACCCAGCACCTGGGGCTCTGCCTGAATGAGTGACTGACTGACTAATAAGAGAATCTAATCTGACAAAAAGCATCAGTGATTGATCACCAAGACTCACCTGAGCACCTGAGGGAGGCCTGGCCTGCCAAATAGTGTGGGCCTCAAGAGAGTGCACCTTTCCTGTGCTTGTCCACCTGACTCCCTAGGGCAGATTCCCCAGCACATGGATCTGTGTGGCCAACGCTGCAACTATGTGTATAAACACACACTATGCCTCACAAGTGGATCCTGTGAACCTGAAACTGAAGCAACATGCCTGTAGGTCAGGAAGGAATTAGATATTTAATAATTTATACTTTGAGACAAGTGACGTTTTCTGTTGGTCTTGAAAGGAGTTCATTGACAAAACATGTTTAAAGAACAACCTTCGGCAATCAAACCAACTTATCTAAGAAAAAGAAGTCTGCCTCATTAAAACTAAAACTAGCCATTTTACAGCAAACAGGAACAATCACACCATAGAAAAGACAATTAGTGCAAAATCAATTTCCTTCTTCTTTTTTTCTGTTCTGTCTCATTTTGCTGCTGAATTATTTCCGCGGCATAATGAACGCTATGGGAAAAGAACACACAAACCATGAGATTCTTGGAAGACGAAAGCAGAAAAACCCCCATCCTGCTCATAGCTATGTCTGGATTGCCTTCTGCACTGAGATAGGAGTCAACATGTTTAGCGACATCAAAAGAAAACCTGATACCTTAAGTATAAGAAGATTAACACTTGCAGTGATCTTGAGCTTAGGCTTCTCCAGGACTTTCAACAGTCTGCGCCAGAAGGGACAATTACCAATAAATTGGCACCAACATCTCGTAGTTATTTAACAAAATCTGGCACAGTGTATAAGCTCTCGTCCTTAAGACTTTCTTTCAAGTCTGGCCCCGGTATCAGAAGGCTAACAGATTGGGGAATGTGACGAGAGCCGACAGCAGGGGAATCTGCGGGAACGCTGACAGAGGGAGGTGGTGGGGAAAAGGTAAGTGAGCAAGAAAGAAAGAAACACAAACGAGACAAAGAGGAAAACAAAGAAACAATCTTATCAGTGAGGAGACATTTTTTACTTCCTGATTTCAGGGTTGTGCCATATCTTAGGGTGGATATTTGTTGTGTGTCTAAACTGACTGGTATGCCTGTCGGGCTTTACTTTGTACCTCAGTGGACACATGAGAAATTCAGGAATGTGACATTGTATAAATTCTGGAAGCAAATTATAAAATAACTAAAAGCCACAGATATATATATATACACATGCTTTTGGAGAAAAAAAACAAAAAACATTTCAAACAGTTTAATCATGTAATGATTTTAACACCACATTATTGCTACTTAGAAGGTATTAGAATATTTCAGTGTCAGGAAGCAACACACACAAATCGACGTTAAAACACCTGTAGGAGATGTTATGTTGCCACAAGCTCTCTACTAATCCATACCTTTAACGTTTCACCACAGGCTCTCTCAGGGTTTACCGAGTACAGCACTCTTTACACTTTTATCACTCCCAGTTAATCCAAAGTACATACTGTATGCTTGTACCTACAAAGATTTTTTATAACTAAAAGTAATCTGCCTGTCAAAGGGGTTGTCAAAAGAGGAAACCATGTGGTGAACTCATGGACAAACACCTTAGGCATAGATGCCTCCATCCCTGCAGGAAACTTAAAGCTTGTTAAGACTGCTGTGGAAAAGTTTCAAAGATTATGTAGAACTTTCTGTGTACCACAAAAAAATAAAAAAATAAAAAAAGTTAAGATAAAAAAAATGCTTTTCTTTGTTTCTACAAAAAATATGGAAGAAATATGGATGAATGTTTCATTAAACATTTAGCAAACACATCATTTCCTTACAGTAAACATGATGTAACAGTTTCCTATTTTTAAAGCCATTGTTGTACACTAATGTCAATGCCACCTGTTAAATGACAATAATGAGAAAAATGAATTACATATGTTAAATTGTCAATTCATAAAAGTCTATAATGATGAAAGCCTTAAGAAAGGGAGGATTTTAGAAAGAGCTGGGACCAGGAATATCTGTAATATACTAATACAAAGTAGCATACAGTTTTAAAACATATGCCCATTCCATCAGAGAAGAAAAAAATCCACTTATGGAATAACCTGATCATTCATTATATTAAAGTAGTCAGCTGACCTCATCTTTAAGCACATAGTACTGCTGACCCTAGACTTGAACAACTACAGCAACCCCAGACCATAAAGCACTGTCCCCAGTCTTGTAAAGTAGTGAAGAGGCATGATGGGTACATCACTTTACCATCCTCTCTTCTTACTTTGATGCGGTCATCATTCTAGAAAAGAGTAAAACTTGACTCGTCAAACAATATGACCTTCCATTGCTCCAGAGTCTAATTATTATGCTTCCATAATGATTAGACTCTATTGGAAAGATTATGCTCCCTAGCACACTGAAGCATTTTTTTCATATTAGCCACACGGATTAGTGGTTTTCTAAAGGCTACAAAGCTTCTATGTTTATATGCCAATCCCTTGAGTTATCTTTTCACTGTAAATTGCAAATGCTCTTACTTTAACTACCGTAATAAACATAGCCTGGAGTTCTACTGTTAATTTTCTTTTATTTAATTTCGACAAGTAAGTAAATGTTCAGCAATCATGATCATTCAGGGTTTTTTCAGGTCTCATTTTTTCCTGAAAGAAGATGGCTCCTTGTTATCCAGCCAGTTCTTAATAATGTGTGTGTTAACCCATATTTGGCGGTTTCTGCAATTTCCTAAGGTTTTCTCTGATTGATTTATGCCAATGCTTTCACCCTTCTGGTGTATCATTCCACATGGTTGTTTAAGAAAAGACAAGTAACTCATTACCCTACTTGGGGTTAAATATCTGATTATCAGTTGAAAAATAATTGCCCAGTAAACATTCAATGGGAAGCTCGTACCTATTTGCTTAGTTAAATCCAGGTAGCAACTTTCTTTTTTGGCCAGGGGTTTTTATTTTGATCAGAACCAACAAAATAACAATTTAATTGTAATCTGAGACGGGTTTTTAATGCCAGTTGACAAGCCACTCTTCATGCATGTAAGCACTTCACAGGATAAAGTCATTCTAAATGGGGCAAGCTGAATGGTATACACATCTGCATCCCACATCAACATGATATATTTCTGTGTCGGTGGCCAGAGCAGGATGCCCAAGTGTAAACCTCAAGAGATACCATCCTATGGCTTTAAGATGGATCCCTTCCCCAACAAACCTAAATCAAATGATTGGCTTGCTACCATGCCCCTGTTGAGCTGAATGGCATCCAGGGGGAATTCAGCTCTTAAATTCAGGTGTTTTAGAGAAGAGATGCACTAGGGTTAAGGGTCGAGTCCAGAATAACAGTAACTTGTAGCACCTCCAGGGGAGGAAATATCCTCATAATAAACCACTAGACCACCACTCCCTAAGGGCATAAACAATGTCAATTCTTACAAAAACTTGGGACTGTTTTGGACAACAAATAAGATATTGCAGCCAACTGTGAGAATGTGTCTGTGTAGTCACACCTGCACCACTTCTACTTTAGAAAACACTACCATCTTAACGTTGACAAAACCATTATGACCCCTTTTAAAGTGTTTGTATTGAATCACTTGTAAATTTGTCCCAACGATAAAATCACGTTATTTTCAATACGGACAATTCATTCTCGGACAATGAGTTTCAGCTTCTTCACTCTGGAAGAATATTTTTAGCTCCTAAATGTAGGATTCCAAGCAAGAAAAAAAACTAAATAAATCTTTGTTTAGACAGCTGTTACTGACCGAAATGGGAATGGTGAAACAGTTTGTAGCTTTATTGCCTTACAGCGGGTCAGAGTTCTGAAACCCAGCTTTTGTCCTTTTTGCCTGGAGTTTAAAGGTTCTCTCCAAGCATGTATAGGTTTTCACCATTTACTCTGGCAACCTCCAACATTCCAAATATGCATGTTTATGAATGTAGGTTGATTGTCTCTTAATTTCTCTTTAGGTGTGAATGTGTGTTTGCTGTTGTGTGTCCCTCTCATTCTGTATCATACAAATGATTTTTACAGGGTGTAGCCTTCTTTTTGCCTTTAAGACTGCTGGAAATAAGCGCTAGTCCCCATTGACCCTGACAGAGGTGGAAGATAGATAGTGATACAGAACAGGGTTGAATGGAAGATGGATCTGTGTAAATGTATACATGTATACATGTTTCAACAAATACTTGTTGTATTTGCTTTGCTTGGCACTGCCAGCAAAGTTGTCCATGTGTGCGTTCATATTCCTCCTAGGGCCACAGCCATTTTGGCGTCATCTATACTGTAAAATTGTGAAGCTTACAACATAGACTCTCTCTTCCTGTAGGTGTGGCATGTTGTAAATCAGACAAAGTTAACATCAGGACTGATTTTCAGAAATGATTTATAGTTATGAAACTTCATATCTTAGTATTTTTGTGCCTATGCATGACTGCAAAAGATTATTTTTAAGATGCCTGTTATCATTTTTTAAGTATACAATGATAAACAAAAACATTCTTAAGGAGCATTTACCAATGCATCTTTGTAAATCTTAATGTAATTAATGTTTTGTAATAACAGCTGGATATTAATGAGACAGATGCTAACTTGGCAAATTGAAAATTTTCACTTTAATAGAGTACAGTTATTTTCACTGAGCAATAAGAGTTGTTTAAACTTATACACTAATTTTTTTTTATTTTTATTCCTATTCACTGATTTTTTTATGATTGCTTATCTAACAAAGAACTCAGAAATATGGTAGAGCAAACAGGTGACATGTAGTTGAATCCACAGTCTGCTTTGGGATACTGTGACAGACGCAGAATTCTGACATGTCCCCACAGTGGCTGGGAGGAGCAGGAAAAACCAAGTGATTTAGCATTGTTTTGGAGAAATTCCCACCAGTAATAGTGTTCTGTCATTCCCCAACCCCCTCTGGTATGGCTTTGACAGAAAGACAGAAAAGATGTGACCTGAAACAAGACACTGTTTGATCATTGCTGTACCACTTTCATTCTGTCACAAAGATCTATGCAAAATCACTTAATATTAAAAAAGTTTCAGTATTATTAAAGTGGAAATAAGCTCACTGATGCCAATGCATTATACATCAATACCTCTGACAAAACACATTTTGTTTCTACACTGACAAGCCAACAGAAGAAAGAGAAAGCCTGATGAGTCCTTAAAAGGGTATATAAAGGATGTATGTTTTAAGAGAAAAAGAGAACAACCTTCTTTCCTTAAAATTTAGCTGAACTTTGTCTTCTTCTTAAACTTACCACAATACCTTTAGTGTATGCCACTTATTTGTATCCCTCTCTACCGTCTTTGGGGTCGTTTCCCACAGTTATCTGTTGGATTGACTGAGGAGCCTCTCTGCACGTGGGGTCTTATCTGGTGTGGTAGATCTGGGCCTCTATTGCTCTGGTGCTCAGGGTCTGCTCCTGTGCAGCCATGATGTGTAGCTATTGGTAGGATTTCCTGATATCCGCAGCTCGGGTTATGTTTTGGTGGTACATTCCGCATAGGATATACAGGTGCTGGTCATAAAATTAGAATATCATGAAAAAGTAGATTGATTTCAGTAATTCCATTTAAAAAGTGAAACTTGTATATTATATTCATACATTACATACAAACTCATATATTTCAGATGTTTATTTTGTTTAATTTTGATGATTACAAATGACAACAAATGAAAATCTCAAATTCATCATATCAGAAAATTAGAATATTACTGAAGACCAATAAAAACAAAGGATTTATAGAAATGTTGGCCAACTGAAAAGTATGAACATGAAAAGTATGAGCATGTACAGCACTCAGTATTTAGTTGGGCCTCCTTTGGCCTGTATTACTGCAGCAATGCGGCGTGGCATGGAGTCGATCAGTCTGTGGCACTGCTCAGGTGTTATGATAGCCCAGGTTGCTCTAATAGTGGCTTTTAGCTCT